AACACAGGACTCAAAAGATCATTCGAGCGTGTCCGTTTTTGAGGGAAGGGTACCTGGTTTGTTGGTAGTGTTAACTGGACACCAAAAGGAAAAACAACGTTTGGGGGTCCAAAAAACAACGAGGATGTGCTGTGTTTTGATGGTACCTATTTTCTGCTATTTTTGAAAAGCAAGCCAAAAGAGAGAAAACACGATGTGGGGCGCGCGCCCTAAAAAAAAACACCCCCACAACGATCATTTGCGCAGCAATTGTTGATGAGGCCTTGCCTAGCCCTTTTGCGCTCTAACCGCCGGCCTTCCGCCCAAGAACGGCATGTCCTGTGGTGGTAGACCCTTCAGGAACATGCCTCATATTAGACTTGCTTTTTTGAAGCGCGCCCCAGAAGGGTAGAAATACAAGGTAATCGATCACCTTTTGTGGTCGTGACTAAACATGGATCAAAAAAAATGGACAATCAGAACGTCAAAGGTCGGCTTTGCTATTCGCATATATAGTTATATAATATTTTGGTTGTTGCTGTTATTGTTGTCGTTGTCCTCGTCGTCGTCGTTGTTGACGTATTATTGATCGAGATTGATTGAGATTGATTTGCAATACTATACACCTCCTTCGTGAAGGCCTGTTTTGTTGCTAATTTGTTGGGCTGAGAAAAAGCTCAAGGTCCAGAAACTCTTGCTGGATTCGCAACTGAAAATTTAGCTGGCCTCCTTTTCCCAAGCGCTCAACCAAAACCATTTGGGTTTGGCTTCTTGTTTGAGGGTAATCGCCGCTTTTTTGTGGGCCTTCTTATTGTGAAACCAAAAGGAACACCTGAATTTCGAGGGGGTCCGAATCCTAAAGACGATCCAACCGTTTCGCTCGGTTTTCGCACTCAGCAAAGCTGAGGTATGGATTCCTTGTCCACAAAAATCTCATGCCGCGGCCAATAACAGAGTCCCTGCCCTGTCCATATCTTTGCTCCACCTATCCAGAGCGCATGTGCCACGACGCCTGGCATGATGAATTATGAGGGAGAGAACTCTCCCAATGATTGGGGGACAGAAAAACCCCTCCCTAAATGAATCTGCCAAAGGGCTCCCAATAATTCAGATCCCCAACTGGACAGGGCGTTGCGGGAATGCGTCTCCGACTCAGGCCGATTCGAAGTATTCATGCCGGTGGACTACGGCTTGTTGCTTATTTGACCTTACCAATATCCAGCGCAGGTGTCCTGGCCGCGTTCGCAGGGTCATCTGGGTGTTTCGTATCGCGAAATTGGGAACGGCACGGGGGTCAGGGGTCAGCCTATTAACATCACAGCCAATTGGTCGCGCTGAGCGAAAGTGACCCTCCACAGTCACGCACTACGCACTGACTCAACGACACAAAGCTTCGCTGTCCACTGCTCGATGGGCCTTTCGCTTCCCCCGCTCGTTGCGGTTCGGCTCCCTTTTGGCTAGCCGAAAGGGACCTTTCAGTCGGCGGAAGCCCGTCCCAGCAGGGTCAAAAATCCGCATCTGGTCGTGGGCAGGCTGGGAACCCCGGACTAAGCAACCCGAGGTTATTCGGGGGTGTCCCTGGGTGTTGGGAATCATTCACTTTTCAAGGGAACACCCCAAGAGGATAGCTTTGTTCATCCGCGGTATTTGACTTTGACCAGGGCACATGTGCCGAGCTTCGTCTGTTGGGAAGCTCAAGTCCCGCACAAACGCCCCGTGAGCTGAGGCCGTAGCTGCCGTATGTGGCGCTCGCAGACAAAACGGGTCCTGGAAGGATCAGGATTCCTCTCCTTCCCTGGGCAAGGTTTCATGAATCGACAAAAAACCACTCGGTCCCGAACTAGAGGGCATCTAGAAGATTGAAAATGGAAGCAATTCGTGTGGGTCTTGGAGCTTGCTAATTCAAGATGCCCAAAAACTAAATTAATTAAGACGCGGCTTTCATGCCCCTCATGCTTGTGCGCGTCAGGCTCTTCTCGACAAGGGTCGTTCATGCAGGTTAGGTAAAATAAATCCCGTGCGTTGCTGCGCTGCAGAGTGGCTTGCCTTTGGCCATAAGATCCCTGCCGAATGCGCAGAGGCCGTATGACACGGTCTAAGCTCTTTCGGTCCTCTGGGAGGAACGGCATTCGCTGGGCTCCCAATTGCTTGCAAATCGGGGACAACTCGAAAGCAAAATCGCCAGACTCGACAAATGGTTCAGAATGCGATCAGAACATGCTATCTTAATGCAATCGAACTCAAACAAAGCGCCCGGCTTAAAAAGGTTGGCTCGTGTTGCTCTTGAAAGCAGTCTTTCCTCAACTTCAAAGAGCTACTCATTTGCAGGCAAGACATCCATTGCACTAGAGAGTTGCAATGAGTTTGTCTCAGTCGCAATGACTTTGACTCAGCTTCCCACTCGCATAGCAAAAAACACATCTCGCGCAAGCCTTGGCCGGGAGTCAACTGCAATGGGCAGCCTCGACTGGCTAAACGATGGGTGCAAAACAGCTCGCTCTCACAGCTCGCAGGCGCCGCTTCTTCTGACTCGACATGGCTCCAGGGCCCCATTCAATGATCGAGTCGTGTCGGATAAGTGGAAACCCAACCACTAAGCCACCCAAAATCCAAAAAGCTTCAAAAAACACAGACAATTCGCCGGTTCAGAACCGTCCAGGGAAGTGCTCCTCCCGGGGAAAAATCGCAAAACAAATGGCTGTGGGGTGGTCGGAACCTTGTCACGAAGTCGCCGGCGCCGAGAAACCAAGGCGGATGGATTCTCTTTTCCGCTCCACCCATCCGAAACACGGTGCTTGTGGCACCAGGACCAAGGCCAAAACCCGGCCCGAAGAAAAGGCGGGCCCTGCTAAACCAGTGGACCCACACTTGAAGATCAATCATTCAAAAGGCGTAGTTGTTTCAAGGTCAAATCAATAGAGGGGAGAAACAGGGCCCCCTTGAACGAACAGAACAGAAGGATTGGAGCATCGGAGCTCCTGCACGCGAGATGCCTGCGACACGACTCAAGACACAACTCCCTTGCACATCTTTTACATGGAGATCTTTGTCCACCAAACACTTTTAAGGGTGTTCTGACTCTTAGAATTCATAGCCACAGAATGATTGCCGCTGTTTGGTGTGATTGGTTCTTGCTACCATAAGGATGAACAGACTCGTTTAATGATCGTCCAAGGCAACCATGTAGCCCTGCACTGCTGCGGAAAAACGAGGAAGGGCGTCCGCGAGCGCTTGGCAGGCTACACGACTTGAACAAAACTCGGGGCAACTATTGGTTGCAAGCACCGTTGGTACCTATACGCAGAGTCGGCTTTGAGCTCTTCTGATTGCTTATTGACAGAGTGCGAAACTACTGGCAGAGTCAGGATGTCCGCTTGCAAGCCTTCAATAATGCAGTCCGAAGGCAATTTGATTGCCAGTCAAGGGAACCCAGGATTACTTGAAGATTTGTTTCTTTTGGATGTGATGTTTGAGAGTGCATCCCCCCTATTTAGCGGAGGTTGAGCAAGGTTTGGCCGAACCAAAAGCTCATCCGCTTTTTATAGGCCTCCGCTTTCAGACCACGTCCTCCTCGCCATCCACATACTTCTTTGAGCACAGATTTTTGAGCCCTGGAACGCACAAGTTTGTGCAAGCTCAGCTGCGTACGCATAGATATATCCAGCATACATGTGTCTATGTTTGTACATGCGTACATATGTGCATGTGTATGTGTATATATATATATATGTGCAACCCCCCCCCCCCGAACCCCTGGTTTTAGTGCCTTTTGGGGATGATATAGAATCTGCAGTGAAAATCCTCGAGCTTTCCAACTTGGAGCAAATTGAAGCCTCATGGTTTGGAGCCAATTGGAGTCCGAATCTCCCAGTATATCCTTTCCAAATAGAAGTGTACTTCAAATAGATTTGGCATGAGTCGAATTGAGAATTGATTCAGGATATAGTTTTCCAAATGTGTTTTATGTGCAATTAGAATGTAAATAAACAATCCTTCCCAAATAGGAGCTAGCCTACAATGTAGATATAATTTCGGGTAAAATTCAACTAATCTTTAATAATTAAATAGAAAATGTGCTTGAAGTATGATTTAAGTGGTAAGTTCAATCTAATACGATGATGCTTCAATTGGTGCTTGAC